TGAGGTTTTGTGGAGATTTTTAGAAATTTCACTGGTTGAAATCATGAGTCAATTGAAGCTAGACCAACATGGAAAACCTGGAAGCACTGGACGGCCGTTTCGTCCTAGTATGGGACTCCTCAGCAATGCGCATCCACGATCCCGCACCCTAGGAGATTCCAACCCAAGACCTATCAGTCTCGCGCCAGGCGCTTAACCAACTAGACCACTGAGCCGGCCGGCATCTAACGGTGTTAATGTCTAACTTCAACCAATCCACGAAGTTGCGCCACCGTACACCACTGTCTTCAGTGAGTTTGTGGAGATATAACTGACAAGCTTATTTTCTAAATAGTTTTTAGTATTATTTGTATTTATTTTGTTAATTTCTCACTGCATGTACATTTATCATTAAATGATTGTACCTGTTGTTTAAGTAAATGACCTTGAAGACTTTTTCCGTTGTGATACTACATAGCGTGACATATCGTTGTTGGTTAACAAATACACTGCTTCTCTCACATTCCCCGTTCTATTTTCATTCGAGATTAAGTTAACTGAGACCTCAAATAAATATTATTTACATTCATAGACTGTGAGAGCGAATACACCATACCTTACTTTGGATTACACCACTGGGGAGTTCATCGATACGTTTGGAATTACCAAGCATCTATAATTGTGGATTTATTGTACCAGATTAAAGCCGAACACGCATCATTTTGGGTGAACTTAAGTAAAGTCCCATTTTTATTGTATTTGTAACATTTAACTGATATATATTAATATTACTATTGCTTTTTATTAACTTTGTTGATACTTTTTATGTTTATATATCGTCTGGTCCACCACAAGTTGATATCTCTCAACAGACCTGATTGAACTCCACTGGTAACGGCTTCTCACTAGAACTCCAGTGATATTACACACTATACTTGTAAACAGCAAAAAGATTGTATATTCATGGGATTTGGAAAAAATAATACTGTGATGAGATTTAATATTGTTGATCATATCCTTTGATAAATCAACTTTCTCACTGTTGATGAAAATAATCTATTAATAAATGGTCTCAGGAATAGCTTGTAAATATTACACTCGTTCTTGTGACATTATTGATACTCAATTGAAGGATAAAGGTAAATTCAACAATAACTGCTTCCGAAACAATATCTGGATTCCAATAATTAACATGTTTTTTTTTCAATACATTCACATTAGATGCAAATGATTCTCATAAACCGGTACACACCAAGTATAATTCTATGTTTAATATGTAAATACATGATACTAAATTATGCATAAATAAAAAAAAAGTTCACTTATATTCCGTTGCTACGGTGGCTGTTAAATCTCATCTTGCAAATTCGTTCCGCCCCCCTCTCACTTTTTCTGAAAATGTTTTTTCGTATCGACCCATATCGAATTTTATGTTATTCTATAAGTTATTTTTATCGAATTAAATAAATTACATTCATATTCATCAACCTGTATATAGTTGCTATGGTGATTGTTTTTTGTGAAAAAGCAAAATCACAAACATTCAAAGAAAGATAAAATGAAATCATGAAAGTTCACAGTTTCCAATCATTTATTACCCACTTTCTGTTTCTCTCTCTCTCTCTCCTAAAAGGAAATACACAAAAGCGGTCGGATTAAAACACATAACCAGGATTACTGAATATGATTATACGACATGACAATGTGCTCCATGTAAGTCTTATTACATATTATAATAATAATAATAATAATAATAATAATAATAATAATAATAATGAGGATGATGATGTTGATGATGATGATTTTCGTTATTTGTGCATCATCATATTCTGTATGATTTTTTTCAGTTCACGATTCTTTTCCATTTTCTCTTCGATTTATCATAAACAATGATTATTTTTTTCGTATCCAAATATTAACTTAGCGCTTAGCTCATCCAATTGTATACATGTTCAACTGCAATCACTTTGCAATACATCTTGAATATTCTCTTTCGCTTTCAACCATACGCTTAATATGGTTGAACTTTTTGGGTTGATTTCACTTAGGGTTATACTTACTTACTTACTTACGCCTGTTACTCCTCGTGAAGGAGCATAGGCCGCTCACCAGCATTCTCCATCCAACCCTGTCCTGGGCAATCCTTTCTAGCTCCGTCCAGTTGTAATTCATCCTTTTCATATCTGCTTCTATTATCCGACGCAATGTGTTCTTTGGCCTTCCTCTTTTTTGCTTCCCTTCACGATTCCAAGTTATGGCTTGTCTCGTGGTGCAGTTTGACGATTTGCGTAATGTATGTCCTATCCATTTTCATCGTCTTTTCCTCATTTCCTCTTCAGCTGGAAGTTGGTTTGTTCTCTCCCACAGAAGGCTGTTGCTGTTGATATCCGGCCAATGGATGTTGAGTATCTTGCGTAGACAACTATTCATAAATACTTGTACCTTCTTCATGATGGTTGTAGTAGTTCTGGAAGTTTCAGCTCCGTACAGTAGAACTGACTGTGTTGACGTTCGTATTGAAGATTCTGACTTTGATATTGGTTGAAAGTTGTTTTGAGTTCCATATGTTCTTCAATTGTAGGAAAGCGGCCCTTGCTTTGCCGATCCTCGCCTTTACGTCTGCAGTTGATCCTCCTTGTTCATTGATGATGCTTCTCAAGTATGTGAAGGACTCTACATCTTCCAGAGTTTCACCATCAAGTGTGATTTGATTGCTGTTCTCCGCTTTGAATTTGAGGACCTTAGTTTTCTCTTTGTGTATGCTGAGGCCTACTGATGCAGAGACTGCTGCTACACTGGCTGTCTTCATCTGCATCTGTTCATTTAGGGTTATAGTTTCATACTATTGAGGAGCCTGATTTTAAAGAGAAAAAACAAATAATGAATTCGTCTTAAGTTCAATTGGTTGTCTCATCAAGATTAATCAATTACATATACTATGAAATCTCAATGTTCTCTATCAGCCCCCTTGTAAAGTGAAAAAAACAAATCAAATACATATTCAGTTCAGAAAATATTATAATTTTTCGATAACTCAACTCATATTACCTATCGCAGCACTGAAAAGCAAATACAATCTTATATAAGAATTAATAAGATTATCTCGTTATATTGTCTAAGTTATTTGATTACGAGTAAAGTATATTTTAATTTCATACAACCGTAAAATCTAGTAGTGTTGGGATATTCAGGAAAATATCCCAAAAATTATCCTGTTAAGCCTAATGCTATCCTTGAACATGAAATGGTATCCTCTTATTGGTCAATATTTGTTTAACGTGTCATTTTCCTACTGGCCATTATTGTACAGTGTTATTTCCTATTTTATGGTACGTTGTAGTCTGCTTGACTGGTATATAAACAAAGTATGTTTGAAATATAATGATTCATATATCCGAGGCTGTGACTTGTGTTCTGGACTCATTTGGCTGGGTTAGACAGGGAAGCGGGACCAATCAGGACTCTAGGCTGTTCTACGTGTTTGCACGTCTTTGGCCCGATCAATAATTCGCTACCCCTTAATCCGCAGCATTTTTTCACAGTCATAACAAGTAGGTTGTAGTATACTATTAGTTTTTTTAAACAATGTTAAATAGTCAATGTTCAATAGTCATCTAAGAGAAACTCTTATAAGATTTCGCATAATCAGAAACATTGAAATACATACTTGTTTAATACATTTATGACTAAATTTGGCAATTCATTTAAATTGTTGAAGTTTTACAAAAATAATTGGATCTGGAAAAATAGGTCGAGTGAATTGTTTTCATTAAAGAATTTCATCATAAGATTACAATAATCAAAGCTTATATTCCTGTTGAGATGATCCAAAAAAACTCTTCGAAAAAAGCAAAGAAAAGATCTGAAAACACTGAGAAGCATCTTATCCAATCAGAGTTCACTAGAAGTTTTGCCAGAAAATTATCTAGAAAGTGAAAAGTCACATGTCAAATTTCTGATTGGATGATTACTTAAACTGTTACTATGTTTAGTAGCATTCCAGAATTCTCGGGAAACCCAAGAACATCTAAAATAGCATGAAAACCATAGGTTTTCTGTACAAAAATAAACCTTTGAAGTAAAGTGTTCCTTACATATTTCATGCCTTTTCTCTCGTGTTCAAATCGCCGTGTAGTTCTAGCCTGGTGGTTAATAGAAGAGCTTAGGAAACAAATCTAGCGTTTATTGAGCAAGATTTATCAATTCCTTAACATTTTAGGCATTAATTTCCCCTGAGTATAACAATGAATTATCTTAAATTACAAGGTTATTTTCAGTGCTTTCCGTGATTGCAAGCAATCAATGCCATGTATTTCTTTGATTCCTTTTGTCCTCCTTTAATGAAACAATAATATTAAATAAATTAATAAATAATGATTGAGATCATGTACCGATTGATGTTAGACCGTCGTGGATGCACACTGCTGAGGAGTCCCACAATAGGACGAAACGGCCGTCCAGTGCTTCCAGGTTTTCAATTGTGATGGTCTAACATCAATCGGTACATGATCTCAAT